ACAATTCCATAATCTCATGTCCCTTATCTGAATTTGTCTCATTGCATTTACCAAATGTTGGTTACAAATTTTTTTAATAATGTCAGGTCTACGTTGACCTCTATAGCTAGGAGAGCCAAAACAGCTTTCAGTTTTAAAAAGGATCACTTGCTACTTGATATTATTGAACTTGAATGTATCACTACAAAGTCATTCCGCAATTAATTTCCTTTTCCTAATAGGGCATGTGGCTGGTAATAACAGAGCACCCCTCACTCCTGGAGCACAGACTCTGCCTCACATTCATTCAGAAGGTCTCCTGGGTTAAGTCTGACCCTCCAAATCTATAATAATAAAAGCATAATATGCTAATTAGCCAGATGTCCTTCCAGACACCTTGTGGACAAAGCCGAGGCTGTGAGGGAAGCCCGGGTCCTGGGTGCTGGCAGCTGGGGGAAGGAAGGCCTACTCTTGCACAAATTTTGTGCATCGGACCTCTAGACAAGTAATAATAGAAAAACTCAATGAGGGTACCCAGTCTCTCCTTTTAGAAAGTACTCCAAAGAATATGCCACTGCTACACACAATGTCAAGCCTCATTCACATCTTCCAAGTTGCCCTTGGGTACCACAGGACATATCAAATGACTTATTGCATTTTCTGTGGTCTAGAAATCTGCCAAATTGAAAGTGACAGTTGTATACTAGTTTCAGGTTTCTTTTTACTTTTCTTTCTTCACTGTCCATAAACATGCTCAGGGAACTGTGTACTTGTGCGACACGGTCTTTGCCCCTAGACATGCCAGCAATGCTCTTGAGAGACAGGTTTGCAAGGGATGCATGTTAATATTCTGTCCTTAGTAAAGACACTAGGTACTTGAGAGGGTTAGGGAATGGACATAATCACGGGTCTGAAGTCTAGAAAGGCTTCTTAGAGGAGAGGAAGACTCAAGCTGGCCCTGTAAGTAAAAGTAACACACAGAGGATTACCTTCTAGACAGGGGAAGATAATTATGTTAATAAAGCACCCACCTGTAAAACAACCTGAGAGAGAAAAAAATCAAACTAAGTCTCATGGGCATTTTTTGGTCCTATGGGAAGAAAATTAACAACCAATGGTATAAAATCAGATGGCTATAAGAAGTTAGTAGGCGCAAGGTATAAGAATGATATTAGGAATTCATTCACAGAGAAGTTATTTTTGCTCCTAAAAACTTCTGGCAAAGGGGTAAATTACCTAAATGTTAGATATTATTAGATCCACATTGATATGAGTATTAAGATCCTCGCTTGATGGAAATTTTTAACCCCAAAACATAAGATGATACCCTGAAATTCTCTTTTAGTTATAACACTAATATAATTCCTACTGTGCATGGTTTGTCCACAAATAAAATAAAACCAATCCCCACTGGATTTCCCAACGAATTCTTCCTAGGGTTTTTAGAATAAGCATTTTGAGCTATTTATATGATAGAAGGTAGGTCTTTCTACTGAAGAGTGGGAGTGAGGCAGACAGAAACCGAGCTCCTTTGGTTTCCAATCTCCACCAAGATTTAAAAGCTTAAAGGCAAAAGAGAAAATATCACTTTAAGAAAAGGAAAATCAAACTGCCAAGATTTATTTAACTTTTTTCTTTCACAGAAAATATAAGTATGCAATGTAAACACTGACATGGGAAATAAAGCACAAGGATCAGGAAGACAAATCCCTCGGACAATCCCTTGCTTCAGCACTGGACTGCTTCCTGATAGTATCTGCAGCATGAGCCACCTGGTCATGTGCATTGGGAAAATTGAAGGCAACGTTCACTTAGATTAATTGAAACACCAGAGAGCCTCTGAAATACAATGCCATTCGGAAGTCTGATCTTTGTCTTGCAAAAAAAAAAAAAAAAAAAAAAAAAATTAAAGCTGAACACGTGTGCATTTGCCAACTTACCAAGGCATGTAATTTAATGTAGGAGCGTAAGAATGAATTAACACATGAGCTTTAATATGCCTGTGCAGGCAGAGATGAAATGGTGCCTCTTTTCCCTCTCCAGAGAAAATAAAATTAACCAAATTAAAAGCAGAGCTGCCTGGCACTGGGCAGGAGGCAGCACAATCACAGTGAGTTATTTCAGTAACCCCCAGGAAATGCAAAACACGAAGGACTGCCATTGGTGCTTCACCCTAATGGTCACTCCAGATCTAATGTTGCAGAACCACATGAAGTTTTCAAGGTTCTCTCCCAGAACTCAAACTAAACAAACAAACAAAAACAAAACGATCCAAATAAATAGTTGGGATCAAGACCCACCTTGATTTAAAACAATCTGTTTCTAAACTTGAGTTCAATAATAAAGAGTATGGGCTTCAATTTTCTGTGATTATCCCAAGAGATTAACATGACTGGTCTTCCTTCGGCTGGGTAGTTCTGTTGGTTAGAACGTCATCCCAATAAGCCAAGGTTGGAGGTTCAATCCTTGGTCAGTGCACATACAATGAATGCATAAATTAGTGGGGGGGGGGGGGGAATCAATGTCTCTCTCTCTCTCTCAAATCAATAATAATAATAAAAAATAATAATTACCAGTCTTCTTTCCTATAAGATGGCAACTACCCAGTGACAGGCAAACTTTGACAATAGATGCCAATTAACTCAGTTTGGGTCTCAGGCCATAAGATCTGGTTTCAGATCTAGCTGCTTCAGAAAACAGAGATCTGAGTCCTGGTATTGCCACGTACACCCACTCCCGCACTCAGCTCCATAATCAAAGGTTATTACAAACAATTATAGTCTTTCATTCCTTGATACTCCACAATCTACGGAGAAATAAGCACCTCAGACACGCCATCCTTATAATGGGCAGAGGGGACAGCTCATGCCGAACATTGATTCTCTAGAGGAGAAATGTTACCCTGACCAGGTGTTTGGAACTGTACCCCGGCAAGCTAAGCTCCCTGTATTGCTGAGATTTATAAATATGTTTATATAAATATCATGTGAACAATTCATCATAACAAAAAACATTCATTTTCTACTACTCTGACCTACAGCATTTGGCACAGTGTCCTGCAGTTGATTGTGCTCTCATTAAAGATATACGTAGAACAGAGAAAACCAAAAGCAGGATTTAAAAGGAATAGGAGCTGATATTTCCCAGGAATCCCTGAATCAATCACGACCTTTGTTTGTGCTATGTTACAGTAAGTTCCTGCTCAGAAGGCTTTTTATTTTCCACATGCAAGATGATAGAATAGATCAGCGTTGTACTACTGCGATTAGAAAAAGCGCTCATCATGGACCTCCCTTTCGGAATTCTCCTATTTACCTCTGCAAAAAAGTAACAGGCTTTAGCAACTCGGTGCACTATTAAAGTAGGCATGGCAGGATATTTCAGTGAAAATTCTCTATCCTGTAGTCAGACCAAATGGGCCAATATTTGGAAAAAGTAATAAAGGATTGAGAATTAAATGGCAGAAGTCTTTACAGCAGCAAGTGGGACCCCAGTTTATCTCCACCTTCCAGTTATTCTCTATGGTCCAGACCTGTTGTCTCTCCAGTGCTTCAACTGGATCCCAAACTCCCTTCAGAGGGGAGACTTGCATATGGCCACTAGCCATTCCTTCCCTTATCATCTCTTTTCTCCTCTCTTGGGATCAGTTCCTATTGAAAGCTCTTCTCTTTGAAAAATGAAAGATGGAAACTCTGAAAAACAAATTCAGCCTCTTTGCAGATACTAGACATAATCACCCTGGGGGAAATAAGGCACCTATACTGTGATGCAGATTGCCTATAGAAATGGAACTACTATGGGATCCTGCCTGCCTACAAAGGAGCATGACTTCCAAACACGTGTTCCTGTCCCTGCTGTGATGAGAGTCTAACCAACAGACAGTGGAGGCTCCGGAGAACTCAAAGAAAAAACAGATAAAATTCTTCATTAAAGCAGAAAGTCAGATTATCAAGCTGGTCTCTGGACAACCTCAGCATTCTTTCAAGTACTGTGTTCATAGTCAAGTGAGAAAATATGGAAGAGTACTAGATGAGAGGCAGGGCAACGTAGGTTCTAGTCCTGGTGCTGCTATTTAACTGGTTATGTGACCTTGGGCAAGTCACTTTACATCCCCTCTCCTCCTGTAATCTCGGTTTCTTAATCTTTAAAATGGGTATAAAAAACACTTGACTTGTCTACTTCACATTGTGAATGAGGATCAAATGAGATAGTGCAAAATGCTTTATAAACTATGAAATAATGTATGTAAAGGTAAAGAGAGTACACACTTATTAAAATATTCGGTCATTATAATTGCCTATCTGACAAGAAGTGCCCATGCAGGATGTGCTTGGCAATGTACAGACTTAAAAATAGTTGCTATAAATATACACTGGTCTTTTTCACTAGGATTGTTTAAAAAAGGGAAATTCTTAATTTCCTCAGAAATGGCCACAGAATACATTACTTAAAAATGTGATATTATCCAACTCTATCCAATTGATAGAATTAATTTTCTCCAAATATGTCCTGTACATGTGTTCCTAACTCCACTTTTCTTCCTATTTGTGTTGCTTTCCGGGGTTTGAGGATTGTGTAGATTGCATACACTGTATACTGGTCTATTAATAACTTTACACGGGGAAGTTTTGAATTCAAGAAACAGCATGCTAAAACTGAAGAAACAATCCACATAGTTACAGTTTGTTGTATAGGAAATAAAATGAAAATAAGTGGCATCCTAAATAATGCAGTTCGGCCACAGTTCCTCACATCACTGCCTTTTTCCTGAGGCACCTCCAGGACAGCCTCGTCCTGTGAAGCGCGTTAGAGAAACTGAGTCTTGCTGGAGGGGAAAGGACATGTAGGTTGGCAACTAGGCTGTGCTCATTCTCAGCACTGGGGTGTGAACAAGAAGGTCTGCGAGAAGCTGCCACACGGCTTTGGTGGAGAAGCCCATCGGCCCAGGAGAGGCGAGCTAGTTCCCGGGTGCCAGGCCAGAGCGTGGAGAACAGCTTCACACAGCCACCCAGTTCAGACTTTCAGTTCTTCCTATGGGCTGATTCTGCTCTTCTCCGGTCTGGTAAATAATTAAACAGAAGAAAAACAATGAGATGTGGAACACTGTCTACCTGGACTTAGGGCCTTTCTCTGCCCAGCTGCCGAACGGTTACATGCAGAACAGACACGCAGGCAGGAAGTGAATGTGGGTGACGGTGACCAGCCCAAAGCACCCGGAATCCAGGATTGTGTCAGGTAGCCTTTATTACACGTTACAGTGAGGGCTGGGAAGGAGTCCTGCCATGGAACCACTAGAGCAGGATGGCTGTCCGAAGGGCCACGGGCTCACGTGCTGCTAACCTCCACTTTTCTTCCTGCTTTGCTTTGCTTTCCGGGGTTTGAGGATTGTGTAGTTTGCATACACTGTATACTGATCCGACAGGAAGGGGACATAAAATGCCCGCAGCAGCTTTGAAGATCTGAAAAACAAGGGGTGGGGGAAAGGAGAATTTTACCATTTGAGAGAATTTACTAATGGTATTGAAAATGATTCAGGGAAATAAACTAAGTGCTCTAGTAAGGGTATTTTATATAAGCAACAGAGAAAAGTCTGTTATTTAGCTACTAGACCATGATAAAGTAATCAAAACCAAGTACTACCTTGTTACCCATACCAACAAGACAGTCTCCTTGTTAAGTCACGGTATATCCTTCAAAATAGCTCTAGGTCTTCACTTAGCATTAGTATATACCATAGAAAAGTTCCAAGTCAATCAAAGGACTGCTATTACTAAAATAAATACTTAATACCCAATGGTTTCTGCAGCTAAGAACTGTAGAGATGCTCAAATGATCCTGACTCCAGCACTAAATTTTCCTAGAGAGATAAAGAAAAATATGTCCTGGCTTCCTGTGCAATGTTCCAGAAATTCTTTTTTTCTTTAGTTTTTTAATATTTATTTATTTAAAATATATATTTTATTGATTTTTCACAGAGAGGAAGGGAGAAGGATAGAGATCTAGAAATATCGATGAGAGAGATACATTGACCAGTTGCTTCTTGCACACCCCCAACCGAGAATGTGCCTGCAACCAATGTATATGCCCTTGACCGGAATCGAACCTGGGACCCCTGAGTCCGCAGACCAACGCTCTATCCACTGAGCCAAACCGGTTTCGGCTTTATTTATTGATTTTAGAAAGAGAAAGGAAAGGGGAGGGAAATGGGAGAGAGGGAAAACATACACACACACACACACACACACACACACACATGCAGAGAGATTTGTTACTCCACTATTTATGCATTCATTGGTTGATTCTTGTGCCCTAACCAGGGATCGAAACCACAACTTTGGTGTAACGGGGCGATGCTCTACCCAACTGAGCTACCCAGCCAGGGTCTAGCAATTTAAAAAAATATATATTTTATTGATTTTTTACAGAGAGAAGAGAGAGGAATAGAGAGTTAGAAACATCGATGAGAGAGTCATCGATCAGCTGCCTCTTTCACACCCCCTATTGGGGATGTGCCCACAACCAAGGTACATGCCCTTGACCAGAATCAAACCCGGGACCCTTCAGTCCGCAAGCCGACGCTCTACCACTGAGCCAAACTGGTTTCGGCTTTAGCAATTCTTAAGTCAAAGAGAGAGTCTTATACACAAGCTCATGTCATGACATGTCCCTGGCAAGTTATAAAATGTACATATTTGTTATTAAAATACAGGAATAGATGAAAACCTGAATTTCTGAAAAATACTTCACATTTATTGAACACTTAGCACTGAACAAACACTGGGAAAAGTGCTTGCACTTTTAAAGATACTATTTAATCCAGCCAATAACCCATAGGAGGAAAGTGATATTATTATCCCTATTTTATAGATGGGACCTGAAGCTTACATAAAGTAACTTGCTTGGGGTCACACAGGAAGTGACAGAGCTCTCACTCAAATCCAGCTTTGATTCCAGATTCTGCACTCAACCCCTATGGTTTATCCTGTATCCTGGGAAAAGGCTAACAGGATTCATAACTTCGTAGACAATGTGGCAGTGATCGTTTCAAATTATGTATCAAGCATTACTTCTTGACTGTGATTTCTGAGTCAAAACATCAAAGCTGACCCAGTTACAGCCACCCTAAGTGAGGAAGCTGCAGAGTGTTCCGCTGCCAGTCCTTTCTCAGACTTAGAACTTGTAAATGTCATGTCAATGTGGCATCTGCACTGGCAGACTCGCGCAATGGCTGCACACAATGATATCGTGCTCTGCATACACACCTCTGAGAGAGGCTCCCCACTGGGACGCTGGCTGTGTGCTCAACAGAGATGCACTTCACTTCACCAGCCAACCATTCAAGGGCTCTGATAAAGGGCTTAGAAGAGACACGAGATAAAGCAGAGCTCCTGCAGACAACCAACAGGAGGAAGCACCTACCTGAGCCAGAAAGAAGTGAATGTATTCTTTCTGCCCGTGCTACACAGATAAGGGGAAGGTCAGAACGGAAGGCTGTAGGTCGGAACAAACTCCTGCAAGCTTAGGTGTGGTAAAGAAAAGCCAACACTAATTTAGGGCCGTTTCCACTCCACGATAAAAGCTTCATTAACAGAGTCAGCACACATTGCCAGTCAACTCAGTCCCTGGTATGCCACTGGGGCCTCTGGGCCCAATGTTAGTGTTTGACTTTCTTTTTGGAACCATTCCTTATTATTTGGGAGGGTTATTATTTCACAATGTTTTCTTTTTAGAGTCTTCCAAAGAACAAAGAGAGATTATACTGACTTAAAAAAACAAAACAAAACAGAATAAAACATTTTTCTTGTAATTACCATATGGATCCATTGTACCCTTTTATAAATGTAAGCTATATTGTAGGATCTTAGTGGTCTAATTTTTTTCCCCCCTGTATCTTGGATTATTTACAACTGTGCTTTTAAAAAAATAAAAACTCAAGTAATAAGAAAAAGGAAAATGATGAAATTACCAAACAGAATGCAAAAGTAAAATAAATAATCACTATTGCATTTTCCTTCAATTTTCTTATTGCATTGCCCAAAGTATTGCATCATCATTAAATAAGGTATGAAAAACTAAAGACTTTATCTTTGCTTTCATTGAATAGTGTTGAGAATTCACAATTTTATAAATAGTGGTCCATTATGGCAATGAGAAGAAAACTGATAGAAGACATTTTACAAGTATTAGACAAAACAGTAGAGGAATGAAAAGAGAAACAGCAGCACTCAAAACTCTGATGATGATGGTGAAATTGATCTAACAAGCAAAATTTGCCTGTGCATCTTTAGATGACAATATACTGGATGAATTTTCTCAAACTCAAGAATAAATGAGTAAACAATATATTTCCAGGAACAAAAAGGAAATAAGGTATTTTCATTCAGTTAGTCATTCAACAGGAAAGACTTTATCATGCAGTATTTTACAAGAATCTGGACCAAAGAGGAGACATATGTAAAACATTTTATATATATATATATATATATATATATATATATATATTTTTTTTTTTTTTTTTAAAGAACCTGAACCATCCTATTATGTTTACAGGGCATCTGATCACATTTTTGCATCTTTTATGAGATCCGTGTGCCAAATTTTATTTAATAAAATAAGCGGACACATGCTGAAGACAAGTTCATATATCAAGGTGACTGGAAGGATATAGATTAAAAAGAAATAAAAAATTCAATTGAAGTTCTGAGCAGTGTGGCTCAGTTGGTTGGTCGAGCATTTTCCTGTGCAATGAAAGGTCAGCGGTTTGATTTCCAGTTAGGGCACAAATTCAGGTTGTGGATTTGATCCCCTGATACCTGGCAGGGATGCATGCAGGAGGCACCTGATTGATATTTCTCTCTCACATCACATCTATGTTTCTCTCTCCTTTCCTCTCTCTATCTCAAATCAATTAAAAAAAAACATATTTAAAAAATTCAATGAAATCCTGGCCAGTGTGGCTCAGTTGATAGGAGCATCGTTCTATACACAGAAAGACCTCAGGCTTGATTCCAGGTTGGGACACATACCTAGGTTCAATCCTGGGCCCTGGTTGGGGTATGTGCAGGAGCAACTGATCGAAGTTTCTCTCTACATCAATGTTTCTCTCACTGTCTCCTTTTCCTTCTCTCAAAAAAGTTTATGAAAATGTCCTCAGAGGAGGATTAAAAAAAAAGATTTCAATGAATTGATCATAAACTGATCAATTACAGAGCAAAAATGATAGCTGCCTTCTCTTTGACAAAATTGAATCATTAAAGGTTTCAAAAACTTCTTCAAATTTTGCATTTTGATGATACAAGTGCAAAAACAACCAAAAGCAATGTTAGAACCTATTAGAGATGTACCTGAAGCCCAGAACCAGAATTTTCAAGATGGATAGATTCTATTTTAGAATTAACATTATTTATCTTTCACATCTAAAGCCACTAATTTCTTCAAGATGAAGTGAGGAACAGTTAATATACACACCTCTGAGCTGGGATGGGAACATTCTTGATTTTTTTTTAAACAAAGAGAACAAGTTAGGTTGAATTCCTCATTTCTAAAACTATTGCTGCCGTTCTAGATGAGTTTCTTTACCATGAATAGCTTTAGTGTGCTAAACATGACTAGGATCTTTTAAATTGCTATACTGTACTATTGCTGGAAAAGTGAAAATGAACTTGGTTATTTGCCTTTGAAAAACAGTTGAGCACTAGAATAACATGTTTCCATACACGTGGAAACAAAGATTAGACTGAATCACAAATTAGAACAAAACTAATATCTATCAAAACTAGCTGGTTTGGCTCAGTGGATAGAGCGTCGGCCTGTGGACTGAAGGGTCTCAGGTTCGATTCCGGTCAAGGACATGTACCTTAGTTGTGGCAGATCCCCAGTAGGGGGTGTGCAGGAGGCAGCTGATCGATGTTTCTCTCTCATTGATGTTTCTAACTTTCTATCCCTTTCCCTTCCTGTCTGTAAAAATCAATAAAAAAAAAAAAAAAAATATATATATATATATATATATATATATTTTAAAAGGATTATTTTTATTAAAAAAAACCCCTCATACATTGTCTGTAATTATGTGAAATGCCCTGAGGAAGCACAGACAGCATAATTTAGGGAGACGTACAATATATTCCTCTATCGTGGAGATGGAAATAACTTCACATACCAGTGAGCAAGTCACTCAAGAGATTCAAAGATGAAACAGACTTGGACAAAGCTATTGTCTGAACAGCATAATTAGCTGACAGCTCAGAATGTTTTCTAATTAAATTACCAGCCATATTTATCAAGGTTAGGAAGTTTCTGTGGAGACTTATCTGCTCTTGCTGATACCAGTGAAGACTGGCTGCCAGTCTCTGATGTCTCTAGTTCAGCAGGCACAAAAGGAAATGCTGGGTCAACTTTTCATTTTAAAAAGAAAACATCCTAGTACTAAGGTGCTAAGGTTTTCTCTTTTATTTTTATCCATCCATCCACTCATCCAAATATTATGGCCATGTGGACCTGTAGTCTAATCTGACTGCCAGTTCTTCCTTTTTGAAGCTAGTTTTCTCCCTCTATGTATCTCTGTCTCTTGCTCTCTCTCGCACTTCGCTCACATTTCAGTTACACTTTCTACAACCCTCAGGGCAGAACTAAATTTTCACAACAATCTTCTGTTCTGAAGAGAATCTCAGGATTCCCTCAAGACTTTATCTATAGCCAAGCTATAGTCCTGAGAATTGTTCAAAAAGCTGGTATGTAGTAAAAACGTGACTGTGCTTTAATATTCTTTAACAGGAAATGGAGTGAGGGGCATTACACTAATGGTCGGTAAGTAACACAGAGGTAACATTTATTGCACAAAAGAGAAATGAACACAGGAGTTACTTGCTACACTAATACTCTACTAGAATTTTAGTCCCTTAAAGAGTTAACTTGACCTAACTTTTATCTCTCTAACTTTTAGAACAGTTCCACATCAAGTGCTTAATGAATAACCTGTGAATGAATGAATGACTATGCTCAGACTCTTAAATCAGAGCATTAGTTTATCTCACTCACTTTTGGCAATAGTCATCTTCCACAAGGAAAAGGAAATAACAAAACTAATATGAAGTTCTTCTTCCTCTTCTCTTCCCAAAGATTCAGTCCTAAAGCCATTAGGTGGACAAAACACAGTAGGAGCCTCTGGTGTGTGGTGGGGCAGTGGTCCAGGAGATGTGAGAGCACAAGGACTTGTGGAGGGCATTCATATTAGCAAAGAAAATATAAATGCTGAAGGTCAAGTAACTTAACCAGGTTTCAGTTTATGCAGTATATGCTCAACCATGATTACCCATGTGACCAAAATGACATTTATTTTCAGCATGCATTCCAAAAGATCTTTGGCATTCCCTGAATGCATTCACAGTTTTGAGTATTTGGTATCAATCTCCAAAAATCCATACTGTGTAGATTTGGAAGTTTGCTGAGGCACAAATTGGAATCACAGCACTGCATGACTGTTTACAGAGTGAGTCACTTCACTTATTTGTGGCCCGTGGCCAATCATGTGAAAACATCATAACCTCTTGACCAGTCACCTTTAGCCAATATTCAGAATGAGGATTGAGAAAAAACTGCTGTTAGGCAACTGGCCATTTTCTGACCTCCAGCCCCACCAAGGCTGCTGGGGAAATGCTCTTCACCCGTCTGTTTTCCATCTGAGAGCTACTTGGATATGCAGGTACTATATGTCCCACCCACCACTCCTGAAGAGAAAACACAGCAGTGTTTAAGGTGTTTGCCCCTGCTCTTTGCACCCTTTGGGCTATGCTTCTATGGAACAAATAGGAAGCAGCATTGGAGTCCCAGCAGGTAGATGATTCTGGCAAGCTCTATGGAGATGAAATAAAGGAGTATGCTTTAAAATACTCAACAATCTTCATTATATCAAATAAGGGCATCAAAAAGTTCTGAAATTTAAGAAATCCTTATTTCAGCTGAAACCGGTTTGGCTCAGTGGATAGAGCATCAGCCTGCGGACTGAAAAGTCCCGGGTTGGATTCCGGTCAAGGGCATGTACCTTGGTTGCGGGCACATCCCCAGTGGGGGGTGTGCAAGAGGCAGCTGATCGATGATTCTCTCTCATAGATTTTTCTGACTCTCTATCCCTCTCTCTTCCTCTCTATAAAAAATCAATAAAATATATTAAAAAAAATGTCAGGAGATCTCAATGTTTTAGCAGCTAAAGAAACAAGGAGGAAAACACTAATGCACGTTGAGGCTAAATCTAGTCTGGAATAGCTCTGCAGATGAAGGGTCTCAGGAAAGTATCTGGGGAGAAGAAAAAATGGAAAGGCTAAAAACTGCTGAAGAAACAGGAAGTATAAGAGAATAATGACCTGATAAAGAATTGCAAAAGTAGAGCCCACCCGGCAAGGTTCAGAGGTTGAGCATCGACCTATGAACTAGGAGGTCACGGTTCAATTCCTGGAGAGCGCATATACTGGGGTTGCAGGCTCCATCCCTGGTGTGGGGTGTGCAGGAGGCAGCCGTCAATATTTCTTTCTCATCATTGATGTTTCTGTTTCTCTCTCCCTCTCCAAAATCAATGTCTGTGTATCTGTGTGTGTGTGTGTGTGTGTGTGTGTGTATGTGTGTGTGTGTATGTGTGTGTGTGTGTATGTGTAGTGTAAAAAAAAAGAATTACAAAAGTCAAGAAACTCTGACCTCTTCTTCCTTACAGTTTCTCTGTATTCTTGGCATAGAAGAAGGAGCTAAAGACACCCCATGATTGATGTGTAGGGAAAGACAAGATCACTTCAATTACTGGTTAGGAAGGAGAACTAATTCTTCCTAAAGGATCTGAACACCATCTGAAGGTTTTCAAACTATTGGCCTGGAGTGTCCCTTTCCACCTGGGTAGTAAGGAGCTGAAGATGGAACCAGCTTATTGGACTGTTTTGTGTGCCATATGTCTCTTCTGAAAGAAATCTCCTTTAAAAAGAAAATTTTCAAAAAGTATCCAATTCAAAGCAAGAATGGCATCAAAAGAGCTACATGGCTTTAAAACATGTCCATAAATTCTCTCACACTCCTCCCATCCAAGGGAAAGTTTAATTCCTCTGCCTTGAACAGAGGCTATTCAGTGGCTCCTGTATTGGATGGAGCAGAACATCTCCGTCCTGCAGGAAGTTCTCCTGGGCAGTGCTGTTCAGAGACCTATCTGTACATCTGCCTATAGCACATCCTGACTTACATGTGCAGCTCCTCTCACCTAATTCAAGGGCAGTGCTCCAGCAATTCTTTCCTTTCTCCATGACCAGATTTCAGCTCTATTATGGTATACACACACTACCATAATAAAAAAAAAATTTAAGGATAAAAATCTTTCTAGTTAGCACTTCCTTATACCCACTATGAGCTATAGTCTTGTTTCTGTTTCCCTTTATAGCAAAACTTTCCAAAAATACTTGTCTATATTTGCCTTTTCCAATTCTTTTTTTAAAATATATTTTATTGATTTTTCACAGAGAGGAAGAAAGAGGGACAGAGAGCTAGAAACATCGATGAAAGAGAAACATTGACCAGCTGCCTCTTACACACTCCCTACCAGCGATGTGCCCACAACCAAGGTACATGCCCTTGACTGGAATCGAACTTGGGACCTTTCAGTCCACAGGCCGATGTTGTATCCACTGAGCCAAACCAGTTTAGGCGTTTTTCCAATTCTTATATGTTTTTGCTTTGATCCATCTAATCTCTCAAGGGCTACGCTCCACTGCTTAACCAAAACTGCTTTATCAGCTGCCAAGTCCAATGGACAGTTATTCCTCCTCTCACTTGGTTTATCAGCAGCTTCTGATGAGCACCCTCCTCCTAAAAACATTCTCTTCCCTGTTTCTGAGTTCCAGACCTGTCTCTCAAGACAAGCTCCTCTACCTTTTGCTCTTTGCCCAATCTTGTGGATTCTGGGCCTCCCTGAACCTCCTCAACTTCAGCTGTCTATTTATCTTTACCTCTGCCCACAGACAGCCTGACTCTTCCAACTCACCCCCGCCCCATTACCACTTCACCTGAATGCCCTCTCATCATTAATTCTGAGACATTTCTGAAGAGCCAGCCACACCCAGGTCTATTTGGTCTCTCTAGTTAAGACAAAGGCAGGCCTATTCCATCCCTGACTGAGCCTTGTGGTGCCTAAAAATAATGGATATGAACTTCTAGCTCCTTAAAGGACAGAGTCAATCTTCCTAATTGTGTTAGAATATTCTCAATTAAAATAGTTGAAGTTGGTTGCTGAAAATAATCAATGTCAAACACTTATTTGTATTTTCTTCATGGATCAATCTGCTTTACTCAGATTCTTTTATTTAGATGATACTAGAATATACTTTGTATTCTGTTGCCTAGAAATAGACAGCGGTTTTAGATTTTTCAGGAAACTGGACAAGGATAGAAGATGTGTTTGGGTCCAAACATAAATAAAGTAAAATGATGGCTACTAGCATCAGCCCAGAGCTGGAATTTATTCAATCCAATTTTCACCTTTATTAACCCTAACACATTTCTTAGGATTAACGCCACATACCTGGAAGCATCAAGGAACGGTCTGTAGGCCAGGCTGATCCATTCTTCCCTGTTAGATGAATATTTTGGCTCCCGGGGTGTTTCTCTTATGGTGTCCAAATCTACTAAATAATGGCATTTACTGATGTCAATCTGCAATGGAGAAAGGCCAACTCTTCATTAGCAATTACAAGGGTCCCTTCAGGGACTTAGCATGTGAACAACCTACTTGAAAAAAATTATATATCTTCCTTTTGTTCACTATTGCTCCCTCCCAATGATCACTTCATATATATATATATATATATATATATATATATATATATATATATATATATATTGATTTTTTTACAGAGAGGAGGGGAGAGAGATAGAGCCAGAAACATCAATGAGAGAGAAACATTGACCAGCTGCCTCCTGCACACCCCCCTCTGGGGATGCGCCCGCAACCAATGTACATGCCCTTGACTGGAATCGAACCTGGGACCTTTCAGTCTGCAGACCGATGCTCTACCACTGAGTCAAACTGGTTTTGGCCCAATGATCACTTCTTATTCCTTTCACATGCTGATGTGAAAGGAAACCATGTTTCTGCTGACAGAACCGTATGAGGGTGCAGGGATATTAAAAAATTCAACAGAACCGACAGAGACATGGCAACTGTTCCTGAAGCAAAAGATCAATAAACTGTAAGAGTGGAGAAGATTATGAAAAATATATTGTAACAATAAGCAAAACTATAGTCACTCAGTTGCTCACAGATGCTCAGAAGAGAATATCATAATCATGTTGGGCCTGGCTGGCATTGCTCAGTGGTTAAGCATTGACCAATGAACATGGAGGTCATGTTCCATTCCCAGTCAGAGCACATGCCAGGATTGTGGGCTCAATCCCCAGTGTGATGTGTGCAGGAGGCAGCCAATCACTGATTCCCTCTCATCACTGATGTTTCTATGTCTTTCTCTCTCTCTCCCTCCCTCTTCCTCTCTGAAATCAATAAAAATATATTTTTTAAAAATCCACACATAATTGGTATTATGCTTATAACAAAATTAATTTAATGGAATATGCTATAAACTATAGGATACTTTCACTGTTAAATACTTCATTTCAAACAATAATTACATTCTCTCATCTTGAAGCCATCAGAATATTTAATTTCAATTAAACTTTTAACTTTTTAAAAATTAAAAATAAAGACTTGAGGTGGTTAACAGATAATACAATATACAGGTAGAATTATACCCCTGAAATCTATATAATTTTATTAACCAATGCCACCCCAATAAATTCAATAAAAAATAAAATAATAAAGATGACACATAATTTTCTCTGAGGTTAAATAAAACTCAAAGATACTGGATTTAAGATAAACATATGTTTTGGTTTTTATTCATCGTCCCTGGCTCACAGCTCCCAAAACCTTGTTATTTCCTAGTTAATAGCAATGAGAGCATCTTTTGTTATAATACTAGAGGCCCAGTGAATGAAATTCATGCAGCTGGGGGCGGGGGGCGCTCAGCTTGGCCTGCGCCCTCTCACAGTTCGGAAGCCCTTGGGGGATGTCCGACAAGCCGGCAGTTGGACATCCTTAGTGCTGCCACAGAGGCGGAAGAGGCTCTTGCCACTGCTGCTGTGCTCACCAGCTATGAGCCTGGCTTCTGGCTGAGCAGCACTCCCACTGTGGGAGCGCACTGTATTGAGTGGCTGTCCCTTGATGGTCAGTGAGCATCATAGTGACCAGTCATTTCGTTGTCCGGCTGAAACTGGCTCTCCAACATCCCCCAAGGGGGCCTGGATTGCGAGAGGGCATAGGCAAGGCCGAGACTGGTGCACAATCAAGGCTGAAGAGGGACCGTGGGAGGGCTCCAGGCATGTCTGGCCCATCTCATTCAGTCTGATCAGCCAGACTCCGGCAGCAAGCTAACCTACTGGTCAATGGTCAGTGCATGTCATAGCAATTGGTCGACCAGTTGACTGTCCACCCCCTAGTGGTCAGTGCATGTCATAGCAAGCAGTTGAGCAGTCTTAGCATATCATTGGCATATTAAGCTTTGATTGGTTGAACAGCTGACTGGACAACTGAACACTTAGCATATTAGGCTTTTATTACATAGGATTAGGTCTCCTGTCCTCAGTTCCTGAAATTCCTTAAAAGCCATAAGAGATTTCCAAAACTGGTTTGGCTCAGTGGACAGAGCATCGGTCTGTGGACTGAAAGGTCCAAGGTTCAATTCTGGTCAAGGGCATGCACATTGGTTGTGGGCACATCCCTGGTGGGGGGTGTGTAGGAGGCAGCTGGTTGATATATCTCTCTCATCGATGTTTTATCTCTCTATCCCTCTCCTTCCCTCTCTGTGAAAAATCAATAAAATATATTTTTTTAAAAAAGCCATAGAGATGCATCTCATTATTCATACCAAGCCACCTTCAATAGCAACTGAGTTTACATTAATAGAGTAACTTTTGGAAAGCACCTAAAAATGAGGGAGGAGGCTGGTTACTAGATGAACTAACCAAGTGATTAGAGGGTTGAAACTTTCAGCCCCACCCCTGACCTCTGAGGAGGAAAGAAGGGTTATACCCTGAGTTTAATTACCAATGGCCAATGATTTCATTAATCATGCCTGAATAATGAAGCATCCATAAAAACTCAAAGAATGAGTCCAGGAGATTAAGTTGGTAGAAGATTTTTAAAAAACTGGATGAATCTACTAAAATAGAACATAGATATTTTCTATGATCCAATAATTCTACTCCTCGGTATTAGATTGAACCATATGAAATCATTAATATTTAACGTTTAATACACAAAATTGGTCATTTCACATGGTTCAAGCTAAGTATATCCAATAGAATGCATGCAGCAAAAAGACAAGTTCAAGAATGTTCAGTGTCATTATTTGCAATTGGTTTAGATTGGAAAAACAAACAAACATCCAACAGTAAAATAATAAATAGTGGTATAGTCATACAATTAAATTCTATCTATAATAATAAAAGCATAATATGCTAATTAGACTGGACATCCTTCCAGACGAAACCAGGGCTTTGAGGGAAGCCTGGGTCCCGGATGGCAGAGGGGAGCCGGTGCCAGCAGCCAGGGGAAGGAAGGCCTACTCTTGCACGAATTTCGTGCATTGGGCCTCTAGTATAGCAATAAAAGAGAACAAACCACAGATACATGCAACAACATGCATGATTATCACAAACAAAATGTTGAGTGAAAGGATTAAGACTCACAAAAAATGTAATATGGTTCCATGAATATGAAGTTCTACTACAGGCAAAACTAAATCATACTGTTTAGGAATACATGTAAGAGGAATAACTGTAAAGAGGAAAGCAAAGAAATTATTATCATGGAGTTGGGAAGCTCCATCTGAAGGGTGAGTAGGTAGTGACAAAAGGAACTGCTGGAAGCTTCTGAGTGCTGGCAATACCCTGGTATTTGACCTGGGTGATGGTTACACAAGTATTTGCTCTATTTTCTATTATTATTATTTTACTGCACACTTATGCTTTATGCACTATGGATTACACACAATTGAAGGTTTGTTTTTTTTTATATATTTTATTGATTTTGTACAGAGAGGAAGGGAGAGAGATAGAGAGTTAGAAACATCGATGAGAGAGAGTCATCGATCAGCTGCCTCTTGCACACCCCCTACTGGGGATATTCCCGCAACCAAGGTACATGCCCTTGACTGGAATCGAACCCAGGACCTTTCAGTCGCCAAGCCGATGCTCTATCCATTGAGCCAAACCTGTTTCGGCACAATTGAAGGTTTTTTAAGTGCATATAAGAAAAACTTGTCACCTCTGGCTTATAGTAAACTCTGTTCTTCCTCAACCTCTCACTCAGAGTAATAGTCTCATTCTCTCTCAACATTGTTTTTATGTAATAAAGACTCCAGTCTCACATTTGGCTCTGCACACGGGCTGTTTCTCCAGGAGAGAGAAAGCATACTGAGAATTGACGTCAGATCCAATTCCATTCCACATAACACTCTAAAAATGACCCTTTGCATAAACACTTCAGGAAGCAGCCTTTTTGGTCTGAACCTTCACGTTGTAGCTCCCAGGATTTTGAAAACATGAAAACTTTAAAAAGTTTTTCAAGTACCATGTCTCTGTAATTAAACAAAAGCAGTAAGGGCCACAGACTCTCATGGTCTCATGCCTAAACCTCCTTTGGTGAGGGAGCTCTGAGTAGGACATTTCAATACTTGACCTCAGTCAGACACACTACAGACCTCATTATCTAGATTGGGTGTTGGGTACATGGTCTTTCAAAGATGTGGAGAGTAACTAATTAATGCGAAAGTATTCCAGTCAGCTTAGGCTCCACTCATTAACCATCCATATATAAATCCTATTTAAAGAAAAGTTTTATAAAGATAGAAACCACCATAGCTGGTTTTGCTCAGTGGATAGAGCATTGGCCTGCGGACTGAAGGGTGGATTCCCATTCAGAGTACTGCCCAGGTTGCAGGCCCGATCCCCAATAGAGAGCCAATGATTTTTATCTCATCATTGATATCCTTTTCTCTCCCTCACCCCTTTCTCTCTGAAATCAATAAAAAATATTTTTAAGAAAAGACATAAATCAAGACAAAATCATATTAATTGCAATCCTAATCCATTTTAAAAATGTAATCTCTTTAAATCCTTTCTAGGAAACAGCTGCTAAAGATTCCTTTTTTCTAGGAAACAGTTACTGAACAACTGAAACACACAAGGACTAAAGCCTCTGGCAGAAAAATGGTTAGTATGATCAAGGGCAGGCTCTCTATTAGAGATGAATTAAGATAATTAGAAAAAGAAGCTCTAACAATCAATAAGTAAAAAGGCAACCTAGGAAATAAAAAAAAAAAATATTTGCAAACCATATATCTGATAAGGTATTAATGCTCAAAATATATAAAGAACCCATAGAACTCAATAGTAAAACAACAAATATTTTATTTAAAAATGGACAAAGGTCCTCAACAGACACTTTTCCAAAGACATACAGGTACATGAATAGGTGCTTAATATTATGATCATTAGGGAAATGCAAAGCAAAACACAATGAGAGCCCAACTGGTGTTGCCCAGTGGTTGAGTATCGACCGATGCACTAAGAGGTCACTGGTTCAATTCCTGGTTGGG